AACTGGCAGATTACAAGAGATCTGGAGGAGATCAATCCTCCTCCAGTTGTCGTGTAACTCTCATTCTAATATAATTAAAGACTGGTATATGCAGACTATTTCTCTCAGAGAAATGTCTGTTAAAAAAAAAATGTTAAATCCTAATGTCAAATGCAAAGAGTACAAGTAAGACTTAATAAGTCAGAGGCAACAGAATGATAAATCACAGTTCAGGCTTTTTTTCTCGTCAAAGTTTCGGCAAAATTTTGCTGTATAAAATTTGGCATTTGGGCACTCTATTTCTATATCTACAAATTTCTATATTTATTTCTATATTTATAACAAAATGTATATTTTTAAGCAATGCATATATCTTCAATGTTAAATCTATCTACAATAGAACACACTGTCACAGATGTTAATCTTCATTTTGTGAAAACTTTTGAAAATTATAATAAACTGCTATAATTTTGCTAAGCAAATACTTGGCATTCTTGTGATGAATTTTGCAGATGAATCTATTCAGATTATATTTGCATGACTCACACATCCTTAAAATTTTATATAAGTAAATCCAACTAAAACATCACTCCATAGAATTTAACAACTGAGCAACTAACACGTGCAAAGTTCTATTCCTATGGCTTTTAAACAATTCTATGATTCACAATTATATATGTGGTTTATATGATGATTCAGTACATCATAAAAGAAATAAGAGTCATGAAATAACAGTTACTACTTGCCATGAACTCTGTCATTTTCTATTCTATTTAATTTTTTTAAATGCTACCTGTAACCCTCTAAATTGATTTTATGACCCATTAATGGGTCACAAACTGCAGTATAAAAGACATTATTATACTCCATATGCATGTAAAGAATATAAAAACTAGTAATGATATGGTTTAAACACCTGGATCTGACCTGAAATAGATAAATATGACTACTATAGAGTTATATAAATCTTTAATTTCATTTTAGTTAAAGATAGTGGGATTCATACCATTTAAATTTTTTTAAAGCTGTACCAAAAAAACCAAAAAGACATGCATATATATGTTAGCAACGTAACAGCAGTACTAAAAGATTGTAAAGCTAAAATGAGATGAGAAAGATTAACTCCAACTGGAAATTCTGGAAATGACTATTTTAAGGTGTACAATTTGAGCACGATTTCAAAAGTATTAGCTGGACTTCAACAGGAGCAGAGGAAAAAGAATGGCTCTGGTATCAATGGTATCATGGACAATAAAAATAATAGCCAAATGTAGACTAACACAGAGCATGTTCAAGAATGGAGAGTGTGGGGCCAGCCCGGTGGCGCACTGCTACAGTGCGCCGCTTGGGAGCGTGGCGGCGCTCCTGCTGAGGGTTCGGATCCCACATACAGACCGGTTCCCACTCACTGGCTGAGTGAGGTGTGGGCGCAGCACCAAGGGTTGCGATCCCGTTGCCGGTCCCGGTCTGGTGCGGGCGCGACACTGAGGGTTGCGATCCGTTGCCGGACACGAGAAAAAAAAAAAAAAAAGACAAGAATGGAGAGTGTTCCACTGAGGCTGAAATGTAGCACTTGTGGGTGAACACAATATTTCCTGTCTTATCTTCTTCTCCCCCTGCCCTTTTTTTTTAACCAAATACTATATTTAACACTTTTATTTTACTATTTCCTCCACCAACTCTCCTTTCTCTAGTGTCCATGGTGTAGTATCCTGATTCTTTCTTGCTCCAACCATTTCCAATAGCTTTTCTCTTCTTCTTGGGTTCCTGTGTTTCCATCTTCTCTATGCACACTTGTTTTCACATTTTACAAACACTACTCAGCTATTCTTGCTTACTCCTTATATTCACTGTTACCTACAAAGGAGTTGGCCAACTTTTTCTGGAAAGGGTCAGATAGTAAATACTTTAGGCTTGGTATGCCAAGAGGCAAAAATCAAGGACATTACAGCAGTATTTATATAATAAGAGAAAAAATAAATTTCCACCCATTTCCTTGGTTTTATGACCGACCACTGATGTTGCTCCCAATGTCCTCAATTCTTTGAGCAACTGTTCTTGCCAAAAGGCTAACAGTCTTAGACAAGATTATTTTCTCTGGTCATATTTCTTCAGCTGCTGCAATCAAGCATGATTTAATTAACTCAAAATTGCTAAGTGGCTTTCCTTTCTTGGCTAACGAATGAGCCACCCCAGAAACTTACTTCGGTTGCAGACTCATTTTTTTGCTTCTGAAGAAATTCTGCTGTGATAAGACATTCTGTTTTAAATTTCCTAATTTTCTAATTGCTGCCTTCCTGTGAGTTGGGTCTCTGTGTGATGAGTGCTTAATCTGGCAATGTAGATGTATACTGTATTCTATTACCACAGTTGTAGTGTGGCTGCTCATTAACAAAATAAGCCACACTCTACTACGCCTTAAAAGCATGATATCTGAAGACTACCCTTCTCTTAGTTCCTTATTTTGACATGTGTATGCACTATTAATAAAAACAATAATAAAATGTCCCAGCACAGTGATGCACAGCACTCAAAATGTTCTCAAGTTATAACCGTGCACTGCAGTTTTTAGTGTACTAAAGCAGCAGTACAAGGTGATGAAAGTAACATTAGTTACCCTCTGTCACAGTGCCAGTCTCTGACACAACTAGTCAACTATGCCACTGTAGCACAAAAGCAGCCACAGACAATATACAAATCAGCAAGTGTAGCTGTGTTCCAATAAAACTTTATGAAGAATGAAATTTGAATTTATATAATATTCATGTGTCACAAAATATTATTATTCTTTCGATTTTTTTCAACTACTTATAAATGTAAAAACCATTCTAAGCTTGCAGGCTATATAAAAATACGTGGTGGGCCAGATTTGAGTTGCAAGCCATACCTTGATGAAACCTAATCTCTATGATAAGAACAGACTTATATCGCCTTTCCCCAACTTTCAATTTTCTCTTCCCCCTAAATTCCCCAGCTCAATTCATCAACAATGAACCACTGAATCTCACATGTCAGAAACTGGAAAGAAGGAAATCATTGTGACTCCACTCTCCTCCACTGACATCCACTCAAACACACACAGTTCTAATTATTCTATGTTCTATATAGTACCTGAAGCCATCCCCACCTCTTAATCCCTACTTGCATATTACCACCTTTATTCAAGCCCTCATCATCTGTCATCTGAACATTGTAAAAGTCTCTTACCCAGTCTCCTTGCCTCTAGTTCTGCACCTGAAGTCATAAGCCACACTGCTGCCTGCACGTTCTATGTAAAATATAAAACTGAGATCTCATTCTCCTTAAAAGCTTCCTTGAAATTAGAATAAAATCCAACTCCTCAGCATGATCTACACTCAGAAAGCCTCATTCTATACCTCCCTCCCTTCATTGCTATATTCTAATCACACTAGCCTTCCTCTCTCCCTCAAACAACCGAAGTCCTTTCCTGCCACAAATCCTTCTACAGTCCTAAAACAGCAGTTTTCAAACTTTGCTCTGTGAGAACCCCTGAATATCCATGAGGAAAGGAAGGAGGAAGGGAGGAGATCAATCAACCAGGGCAGCTCCGTTACTTACACACTTTATTATCTAGACATTCTGATATCAAATCATTTAAAACACACACACGGTTCCATGACCATTAAAAAAAAAAAATCAAATCACATGGTTGTGAAAGCCTAATCTGCTTAGGAGACACATAGGCGCTACGTGACGTGACTCTCATCCCTCCCGCTCATCCCCAGGCCTCTCATTCTATCCTCCATCAGTACAAATGTAACATGCTGCTTGAAATCTCTATGCTTTTGCTCACCAAGCTCTCTCAGCCTCTTCTCTGTTGGTTTAATTCATTGTCTAAGAAGAATCTTCACTGACTTCACACCTGTGAATAGATGTACTATTTTCTCCATCTGAACTAATCTGAAAATATTATTTACTTGATTTTGGATTTATTGTCCAGCTCCCCTCATGAGAAAAGAGATCCTTTGTCTGTCTTACTCACTGCTGTATCTCCAGAATCTAGAGAACAGTGCCTAGCACACAGTACACGTCCAATAAATGTTTATCAAATGAATAAAAAATCTCCTATTAATTTTTATATTCCACTCTTTAGTGTACTGTATGGCACACAGCAGGATCTCAACACATGTATGCTAAAAGAATAAACCTGGGAATAAAAACGGGGGTCAGAAAATGAAGTGCTTTGAATAGCAGGCCAAGGAGTTTTATACTCAGTTGTGGCAGATTTAATCTTATTTTCCTATTCACTTGTTTATCACTTCATTCTTATTGATTCTCAATTGTCAGTGCCTCTGATATTTTTATTTTCCTCCAAGCTCTTTCTCAACTTTTGTAAAGTAGTTCATGATATCAATATAAAATCAAATATAGCCTAGGTTTTAAATGTGGCTCTACTTAACATAGTACGTTGCCACTTTAAAAAACATGTAAAATTCTGGGGCCGGCCCGGTGGCGCACTGCTACAGTGCGCCGCTTGGGAGCGCGGTGGCGCTCCCGCCGAGGATTCGGATCCCACATACACACCGGCTGCTCACTGGCTGAGCGAGGTGCGGGCGCAACACCGAGGGGTTGCGATCCCGTTGCCGGTACGGGCGTGACACTGAGGGTTGCGATCCGTTGCCGGTCACGAAAGAAGACAAAAAGGAAAAAAAAACAAACATGTAAAATTCTAAAAAGCAATAGAATGCTATTATAAAATATACTGGAGAAATACTGACAAGAAAAAGCCCTGAGCACCTTCTATAGAATTTAACTGATTGAAATTAAATGTTTGAATTTAGTTTCGACTTTCTTATTAAAAAAGCATAAAAAATTCTAATGAAAAGGTATCAAATCACACAGAAAAAAAATCGCATATCAAGTGAACAACTTATACTCTGTGAAATTCAGTGGTTTTTAATATAAAATCTACAATTAAACAATGCTTGAAAGAAAATAATGCTAAATTCTGCTAACAAAAAATTAATAAAGATATGGAAACATATAAAAATGATTCTTACTAAGTTATTATCATCCTGGAAAGCATAGTGCAAAGTTGTAATCCATTTATTGTCTCCATTCACTAATACATCCCTTTCTTCACGAAAACATGCTGTCTGAAAAAGAAAAAAAAAATTTTTAGAGAAGACTTTATTTACAACTAGAAAACATATTGTGCACACAATTGCTTGATATGTTTATCACACTATTTCTGTTCTGAAAAAGGAATACACCCAATATCATATGACTTTCAGCAACTCACACTTCAAAGCACCCTCAGAAACTAGGCTACTGGAATAATACATTTTATAATATATAAAAATTTTAAAAACTGTTACAGTTCAGAACAATCAGAAAAATGCACAGAATAATTTAACTAAAACCATGGACCAACCCACAATCCAGATAATATAAATGTCCAGTTTTTGCCATATTGCTTCTGATCTTTTTAGTTTTCAAGAAATAAGAAGGCTATAATTTGTATCTATCTCAATCTCCTCCCTTTCTTCCCTGATGTAATCAATAATCTGGTTAATGTATACTCTACCAACCATATGCTTTGATCACACACGTATATGTCCTAAAACAACAGAACTGTATTGTGTTTTGAAATTTTGCATGAATGATATAATTTTATCTTTCCTTTTACTACTTGATTAGTTTTTACTCAATGACTATTTTCCTTTTAACTTCTATGATATTACATTGTGTGAAAGAACCACAATTTATTTATGCCACCCCCTAATCACGAAAAAACAGATTATTTCCAAATCTGTG